GTGAGGATACGGCCCTGTTAGGACGGTTGCTAGGAGACCGTATCCTCGGCCCAAGAATGCAGTTAGAAGCACTTGCAGCGCTGGAGGGAGGAGCGCATTGGACAGACAGAGAGGCTGGTGGGAGGCCGGACTTGGGGTGCCTTCTTCAGCGAGAAATGAGTCACCTCCAGCAGACACCGAGGAAATAATGTTTCCGTTGTGTTATGTGTAGATACACATTTCATCTCAGTGATTAGGCTTAATCCTTTGGAAATCAGAAAATACCGGTATTTTTTTTTATCTGAATAAGCCTTGGATTTTACAATTAAATGCGGTTGTGCAGTTTACAGTTTGAGGATGGGACTTAGGCAATGACCACCTTCAGTGGCATTTTTTTTAAATTTTTTTAAGTGCAAAAAAGGTGTATTTGTACACACATCAATGAAGGAGGTCAGTATTTTGTCAAGTACAGAGGATCAAGATTCGTAAGTAGCTTATTGGGGACCACTACAATGAGAAGACTTGCTCTGTCTTCAGATGTTGGTCTATTTACCTAAGGCTTCTGCAGGCTTTCCCAGTGGATCCCTCCTCCTGGGCCTGACTTTCCAGTTCCTTACCATGTCCTAGCTGGCGTTGCAGGTGGTCTGTTACTGTTCTGTTCATCCAGGTATTTCCCATGAAGCATAAGACGTTCATTGTTGGCAGAAGCCATGGTCTTCAGGTCTAGCTGGAGCTTGAGTAACTGGCTCTCCAACTCCAGGGCAGACTGTAGAGCAGCGGTTCTCAACCTGTAGGTCTCCACCCCTTTGGGGGTCGGACGACCCTTTCACAGGGTTCGTCTAAGACCATCGGAAAACATATATAATTACATAATGTTTTTGTGATTAATCACTATGCTTTATGTTCAATTTGTATCAATGAAAATACATCCTGCATATCAGATATTTACATTACGATTCATAACAGTAGCAAAATTACAGTTATGGAGTAGCAACGAAAATAATTTTATGGTTGGGGGGTCACCACAACATGAGGAACTGTATTAAAGGGTCGTGGCATTAGGAAGATTGAGAACCACTGCTGTAGAGCTTGTATGCCATACATCAGTTATCTATCTCAGGCCTCTTAAACATTGGAAGGCAGATTTTACTCTCACATCCTCTTAGATAAGCTTAGGAATTGCTTTTCATGTCCTCCTTCACTTCAGCTTGATATTCAAAGAATGTGGCAAAAAGAAGTACTGAGTCTTCAATGGAATTACAGGCCATCTATCTTCTATCTACACTAATAAAATGGAAACATGCAAATTGACTGTCCCCTCTATGCCCATCAGCCAATCAGGGCAACTATGCAAATTAACCCAACAAAGATGGCGCCAGCCATGGAGCTAGAGCGAGCAGGAGGCTTGGGTTGCCCCGGGTGACGGAGGAAGCCAAGTTTCCCGAACCGCTGAAGGAGTGGCTGGGGGGCCTGGATTGGGCGACCCAGGCTTCCTGCCCGCCCTGGCCTCTGCTCAAGGAGGGGCTGGGGGCCTGGGTTGCCAGGGGGCGAGGCCAGCCTGATAACAGCCCTCAGCCCCTCACCCAGGCTGGCCAGGCACCCCAGTGGGGACTCCCACCTTGAAGAGGCTGTGGCCAGCCTGAAAATGGCCCTCAGCCCCTTACTCAGGCTGGCCACACCCTCATGGAGTAAGAGTCCCCACTGGAGGGTGTGGCCAGCCTGCAAACAGCCATCAGCCCCTCACCCAGGCTGGCCACACCCCCCAGCGGGGACCCTCACCCCATGGGGGTGTGGCTGGCCTGCAAACCACCACAGGACCCTCGCCCAGCTGCCCCAGGCCCCAAGGGAACCCCCAACCCTGATCTGGGACACCCCTCAGGGCAAACCACCCAGCTCCCACCTGTGCACCAGGCCTCTGTACTAGTTAAAGGGTAATATGCTAACTAGACTGGGAGACCTTCCAGACATTCTTCTGGACAAAGCCATGATGGTGGGGCCGAGGTAAAGGCGGTTAGAGGCCAAGAGGGGAGGGCAGTTGTGGGTGATCAGGCTGTTGGGGGTGACCAGACCAGCAGGGAGGCCAGTTGGAGGCAAGCAGGCCGTCAGTGGGGGTCAGTTGGGGGTGATCAGGACAATGGGGGAGGGAGTTTGGAGTGAGCAGGCCAGCGGGGGGGAGGGGAGTTGGGGTTGATCAGGCTGGTAGGCAGAGTGGTTAGGGGCAATCAGGCAGGTGAGCGGTTAGGAGCCAGCAGGCCCAGATTGTGAGAGGGATGTCTGACTGCTGGTTTAGGCCTGATCAGTCGGACATCCCCGAGGGGTCCTGTATTAGAGAGGGTGCAGGCCGGGCTGAGGGACACCCCCCCTCCCATGCATGAATTTCATACACCAGGCCTCTAGTTTTTCCATGAACAGCTTGCCTTCAAAGAAAAGGTAATAAGGCTGGGATCCTACAGTGGACAGGCAAGTAGACCCAGCTAAGGATGGCTGGGGGTGATCCACCCCAACCAGGGATGGAATCCACAACCTAGGTATGTGCCTTCACCCAGAATGGAACCTGTAACCTTTTGGTGTATGGGAGGATTCTCCAATCAACTGAGTCACCTGGCCAGGGCTGGATTAGTGTGTGTGTTTGTTTTGTTTTGTTTTAAATGTTAATTGCTTAGTTTGAAGAAACAACTCCAGCTATAGATAGACAAGAGGTGGTGATAAATATTTTCAAAATTCAGATCTGTCAGCGTTGCAATACCTTTGGTAGTATACCAATCATGAACCGTAGTGTCCCTCATTTGTTCTCAGTACTTAAGGGGGATCATTTTCTTGCATCTGTTTGGGTCCTGGGCAACTGTGTTTCCAGCACTTTCTAGTGGACTGGTGAGGAAGGGTTGGTTTAACCTTGATGAGTAACAGTGTTACAGTTTGAATAGAATTCACAGCATATCTATAAGCTTAGTACAGTTTTGTTTTTAATGGTATGATTTCCTATTAAAATGCCAATTTATGTTATATCCTTTGTAAATAAGTAAAGGTTTTTTGTGAGCCTGACACTCGGCTACAATGTAACTACAGAAGTGAACCCCTGGATAAGCAGGAGTTGAAACTTTGCTTATCTAAGCCTAAGTGTGGGCTTTTGTATCCACACTTTGGTTCTTCTTTTGATAGGTGGAGAGTGAGAAGAACATGGTTAGATTTGGTAACTTTCTGCCCGCTTTAGGCTTGAATTGCACTATAGAATGTGAAATTTTCCATGATTTAGACTCAGTGCTATCACAGTGGCCTGTCTGCATTTCTGGCTTGTGTTAAATAGAACGAGTATCTTGCCACTTACGGGTTTGTGTGTGAAGATTGACACTAGCAGTAAAAACATAAGGGATTTGCAGTTGTATGGCTTGTATGACTTAACATAGTCTGCATTATATTTTGAACATTTAAAAAAAATAATTATTCCTATCTTCGAACCATTCTGTGACTAAAGTTTTACAGCAATCTATCCTCAAACACAGCCCTTTTTGTAGCTACTGTAAATACTTTTACCAAATATACCATAAGTGAAGAAGAGTTGTCATGCATACTATTAGTAATTTGGGGCCATTATTGAGTCTGGTTTAATTTGGGCAGTAATCTGGAGGATGGGAAATTGCTTTTGAAGGCTTCTAAGGCATAGAGTTTGGTACCTAAAGCAACTCTTTGGGTAGGTTCTTTTTTTGTTGTTGTTGTTGTTAATCCTTACCCAAGGATATTTTTTCATTGATTTTTAGGGAGAGTGATAGAGAGAGGGAAAGACAGAGAGAAACATCGATGTGAGAGAAACACATTGATTGGTTGCCTCCTGCATGAGCCCTGACCAGGACCAGGGCCAGGAGGAGCCTGCAACCAGACTATGTGCCCTTGCCCAGAATTGAACCCGGGACCCTTTGGTTCACAGGACAATGCTCTACCACTGAGCCACACTGGCCAGGGCGGGTAGAGCTTCTTAGAGAAATGTTTTGTTTGGGAAAGGGGCTAGAAAGAAGGGTATCTGTCTTCGAAATGAGAGGTAAGAGGCCAGAGGGCTCTAAGATCCAGAGTCATACCTTACCCTAGTGCAGTGGTTCTCAACCTTCCTAATGCCGTGACCGTTTTATAAAGTTCCTCATGTTGTGGTGACCCCAAATTTCATTATTACAAATTGAACATAATTAAAGCATTGTGATAAATCACAAAACCATATGTAATTATATATATATGTTTTCCGATGGTCTTAGGCAAACCCTGTGAAAGGGTCGTTCGGCCCCCAAAGGGGTTGCGACCCACAGGTTGAGAACCGCTGACCTAGTTTTTTCTTCTGTTTCTGTGTTTGTGGTTTTCACGTTACTGCTTATAGAAATGTGGTGTCGCACCCTTTGGAAGAAACTGGGATGACTCCATCTTTTTTTGAACTTCCCATTCTTCAATTCAGAGTCAGCGCTTGCCCGTGGGTTTTTCTCTTGAGGAATTGAAATCATAATTGTTAAAAGGCCATTTAAATGGTAGATGTCACTTAGCAAGTTAATACCTGCCTTAAAATTTAGACTATTTGTAGATGTCCAATGAAAATTCTTACGCATAGGATAATTTTAGCTTAAACATACGTAGTGGAATACATAGATAATTCTAGATGCTCAGATGTGGGTAAGTTTTACTAAGGAAGTTTTAAATTTATGAATCCATGTTTTTTAAAAAACATGGATTTTAAATTACAACCTGGCAGGTGTGGTTCAGTGGTTGGGCTTTGACCCATGACCCAGGAGGTCACAGTTCAATTCTAGGTGAGGGCACATGCCCAGTTTCTGAGCTCAATCCCCAGTAGGGGGCATTTAGAAGGCAGCCAATCAATGATTCTCTCTCATCAATGATGTTTCTGTCCTTCCCTCTCTCTTCCTCTCTGAAATCAATTAAAAAAAAAAAGATCTGTTTGCTGCCTAGGTCTTCCAGATTTTTTTAAAAAATATATTTTAGAGGAGGGGAGAGGGATAGAGAGTTAGAAACATCGATGAGAAACATCGATCAGCTGCCTCCTGCATGCCCCGCACAGGGGATGTGCCCGCAACCAAGGTACATGCCCCCGACTGGAATCGAACCCGGGACTCTCGAGTTGCAGGCCGACGCTTTATCCACTGAGGCAAACCGGTCAGGGCAGGGCCCAGATTTTTTAAAAATTGCAAATATGTGTACATATGAAGCAAAGTTAAATGTTTTTGTTTTTATTGTTGTAACTATACATGTTATGTGTATTTCCTTTTTTCACTTGTTGCCTATGCATATAGATCTCACTTATTTTTATTATTTTTTTAATCCTCACCTGAGGATATTTTTCCCATTGATTTTTAGAGAGTGGAAGGAAGGAGGAGAAAGAGAGAGACATCTATGTGAAAGAGTCACATCGATTGGTTGCCTCCTGCATGCACCCTGGCTGAGGCCAAGGGTCAGACCTGAAACCCAGCTATGTGCCCTTGACTGGGAATTGAACTTGAGACCCTTTCGTGCTCAGGCCAACTCTAACCACTTGGCAACACTACCCAGGGCTCACTGACTTTTTTCAACCATGCACCTAATATTACATTGAATGGTAACGGCCTCGTGTATTTTCCCTTGCATTCACTCCTTTTAAGTATGCATATATATGCTTTCAATTTGGAGAATTTAATTAAGACTTTTAAGAACTTGTAAAACTTAATTTTAGAATCCTTATAGAGAAGGAATAGTCTTAGACAATGAACTAAATGTGTCTTGGTTTGCTGAGGGATTGAAATGTGATTATTTGACATCAAACCGGAGATGCATTTAAAAAGTACAGTTTTATGTGTGTGAAATAATGGGGAGCAGAGGAGGTAGCTAAAAGGAGAGAAATAAAAAATTAAATGTGAATGATGGAAGTTTAGGATAACACAGTTTCATAGAGTACAAGTAGCACCCTACCCTCCATTCTGTGCCTTTCAGAGCTACAGCATAGGGGACTGGCTTGTGGACGCTTGTGTAGGAGAGAGCCTTTAAAGTCAGTGTGGAGGGTGGGTCAGGCCTTGGCGTGTGCTGTGGAAAGGGAGATCACTTCATTGAAAATGGTCTTGTATTATTTATCTCTAGTCGGTGGCACTTTGCTGTGTTTTAGAAAATGGTTTACTCTAGGTTTCTGTACTGATCCTCTCTTGTCAGTGCTGTTTCAGTTCTGAAGTCTTAGATTCTTCTCTTGAAATAGTGAATCTCATGCTTGATCTTTTGAGTAGAAATCATCATAAGGGAATAACTGTGCCTAGATTGACTGACACAACACAGTGTCATGAAGTGTACATGTATCTGGCTCCACAAATGACCAAATGAGTCTGTGTTGATAACCAAGTTAGGCGCTTTGATGGGGGTTTGCCTGCTGCTGAGAGGTCTCTCCTGGCTTTCCTCCGCCTGCTTTTTCCCCCATTTTATTTTATGAATTTGTTCTTTTTAAAAAATATATATTTTATTGATTTCAGAGAGGAAGGGAGAGGGAGATAAGAAACATCTGTATATATATATAAAAGCCTAAGTGACTGTTCAACCGGTAGCTATGACATGCACAGACAACCAGGGGGCAGACGCTCTGACCTGTAGGTTAGCTTGCTGCTGGGGTCCTGCCGATCGGGACTGGGTGAGACAGGCCAGACAAACCATGGAGTCCTCCCACAGTCCCTCCCCTGCCCCGATCTTGCACCTGTGGAGTCCTGGATTGCAAGAGGGCACAGGCCAGGCTGAGGGATCACACTGGTGCACGAATCTGTGCCCTGAGCCTCTAGTCCCATCTAATAAAAGAGAAACATGGTAATTAGCCGTACGTCCGCTACCCTTCCCGTTGGCTAATCGGGGCGATTTGCAAATTAACTGCCAGCCAAGAGGGCGGCTGGCAGCCAGGCAGCTTCAAGCTAACATGAGGCTTGCTTGCTTCAGTGACGGAGGAAACCACCGTTCCCCGCCTGCCTTGCCGGCCCTCTGAGCTTGCAGTTTGAAACAGTGGTACAAATATAGAAGCTAAATAAACCCCCAAAAACCTGCTTTCAGCCAGCCGGGATCTCAGAGCGGAGTTGATACAGTGTTTCGATTATAGAACCCAAACAAACCAGATACCTGCTTTCAGCAACAGAGGCCTCAGAGCTAAAGCTGGCCCAGAATAAAAAAAAAAAGAAGAAAAGGAGCGGTTGGGAGCTTCAGTCCCCCGCCAGCCGGAAAACAGCCCTCAGCCCCTGACCCAGACTGGCCAGGCACCCCAGTGGGGACCCTCCCCCTGATCCAGGACACCCTTCAGGCCAAACCAGCCGGCCCCACCCATGCACCAAGCCTCTATTCTATATAGTAAAAGGGTAATATGCCTCCCAGCACTGGGATCAGCGGAGCCAAGAGGCCTCCTGGCTCCAGGATCAGCGTGACAGGGGGCAGCGCCCAAACCCCCTGATCACCCTGCGGCTCTGTGTGTGACGGGGCAGGGCCACAACCTCTCTATCCACCCTGCTCTGTTCGTGACAGGGGAAGGCGCCCCAACCCCCTGATCAGCCCTGCTCTGTGCCTGATGGGGGGAGCTCCCCAACCCCCTGATGGGCCTTGCTCTGTGCGTGACAGGGGGGAGCTCCCCCACCCCCTGATTGGCCCTGCTCTGTGTGTGACAGGGGGCAGCGCCCCCAACCTCCCATCGACCCTGCCTTGAGTGTGACAGGGGTGGTGCCCCAACCCCCCAATCGGCCCTACCCTGAGCATGACTGAAGGTGGCATCGCAACCTCCTGATCCGCCCTGCTCTGTGCATTACAGGGGGTGGCGCCCCAACTCCCCAATTGGCCCTGCTCTGAGCCCGACCAGGGGCTGCACCTAGGGATTGGGCCTGCCTTCTGCCACCCGGGAGCAGGCCTAAGCCAGCAGGTCGTTATCTCCTGAGGGGTCCCAGACTGCGAGAGGGCACAGGCCAGGCTGAGGGACCCCCCTCCCCATCGAGTGCACAAACTTTGTGCACCGGGCCTCTAGTCCTATATAATAAAAGAGAAACATGCAAATTAACCATCCCTCCGCTACTCACAAGGCATGCAAACAGGCCAATCAGAGTGACTATGCAAATTAACCCGACAAAGATGGCTGTTAATTTGCATACGCATGTGTCAAGCGCCCCAGGAGGCGATGGCGGCCATGGGCTCCCAGGACCATTGCCGGCCCAGGAGATGAGGCCTGCTGCGCCTAGCCATGCCCAGGGGCTCCCGGGACCTTGCCGGTGGACATCAGGGCAAGAGAGGAGCAGGTGGAGAGCGGGAGGTTTGGAGGACTTGGCAGAGCAGGAGACTGCTGGACATAGAGCAGAGCGAGAGAGAGGGCGGCTTGGAGGGCACGGCTCCCTCTGTCACCCCAGCTTCCTCATCACAGCTGTGGAAACTGACAGCAGGGAGGAGGCAGGCCCACACCCTGCAGAATCAGCCTTTGGTCAGACAGCTCTCAGTGGCCTGACAGCCAGGACTCTCATTCACCTGCATCTCAGACCCTGACAGTAGGGAGGTGGGACTATGTCTAAAGAACAACTGTTGATACAACGTAGCTCTGCAGCCGAAAGATGCCAGTGTTATTGACAGAAAATGTCTGCAGAGCAGCATGTGCCTGATCTTGAAAGAAGGCAGCATCTGGGACAGAATGTGTCTGAACACCAGCTACTGGAAAATGTCTCTCTGATGCCGAAAAACACCGGCATTATCGACAGAAAATGTCTAAAGACCAACGTGCCTCTGAAGTTGAAAGAAGGCGGTGGTGACGACAGAATATGTCGAGAGAACAGTCATCAAGAAGTACTACCAATACCGGTAGGAACTGCCTTCTCAGCGAAAATGGAGTACATGAGGATGCAATCCTCGAACATAGTTGTGGTAGAATGACTGTTTGATGTGAATTTTGCCTATTACTAAATTTCTCTGATGAAAAACCATCCGATGGGAAATTTACTCGATGTTGTAGCAAAGGGAAAGTCTCTCCAAATGATATACATTTCTAGATTACCCGACATATTTAAAAAGATTAATGACAAACGAAGATCTGACAGTAAAAATTTCATGGAAAATATTTGTTCCATAAATAGTTCTTTTGCTTTTGCTTCCATGGGTGCAAATATGGCATTGCCATCAGGATATGGGCCATACTGTTTTAGAATACACGGACAAGTTTATCACTGTGCTGGAACTCTACATCCGTTGGATGGCGTTTCTTGGAAGTTTGCTCAACTCTATATTTTGGATACAGCCAAAGCTACAAGTAAAAGATTAGCAATGCCAGAAAACCATGGCTGCTTAGAAAGACTCATGATTAACATCAACAACCTCATGCATGAAATAAATGAATTAACAAAATCGTACAAGATGCTACATGAGACAGAAAAGGAACTCAATCTGAATCAGCAGCAAAAGGTATTGCTCCCACAGAGATAACAATAGCAATTAAATATGATTGTAACAGTGACCCGGGTAATTCTCCCCGTGTAATTGTCCCAGAGATGCTGATTGGCATAGAAAAGAGCCAATGGCTGCCTAGGAGGCGGAGCTTTTCATGCTGACTGGCATAGAAGCTGACTAATCAGAACCAAATCTGGGTCAACTGTGAGGAGCCAGTGGCGGCCTAGGAGGCGGAGCTTTTGACACTAACTGGCATAGAAACTGACCAATCAGAACCAAATTGGCCAGCAGAGGAGGGTAGTTGGGAGCTAGATCAAGCCTGCAGGGGAGGGCAGTTGGAGTGAGATCAGACCGGCAGGGGAGGGCAGTTACGGGTGATCAGGCAGGCAGAGGCAGTTAGGGGCGATCAGGCTGGAAGGGGAGGGCATTTGGGGGCAAGATCAGACCAGCAGGGGGGGCGCAATTAGGGGTGATCAGGCAGGCAGAGGCAGGTAGGGGCGATCAGGCTGGAAGGGGAGGGCATTTGGGGGCAAGATCGGACCAGAAGGGGGGGCGCAATTAGGGGTGATCAGGCTGGCAGGCAGGATAGCAGTTGGGAGCCAGCAGTTCTGGATTGTGAGAGGGATCCCAGATTGGAGAGGGTGCAGGCTGGGCTGAGGGACACCCCCCCCCCGCCCCCCGCATGAATTTCATGCACCAGGCCTCTAGTTAATAATAGTTTTAGATTTTGAGAAAAGTTACAAAAACAACCAAGTTCCCATATCTCAAACACAATTTTTATGATTAACAACTTACTTTATTGTGGTACATGTGTCACAACTAATGACCGAGCTTGATAACATCATTATTAACTAAGCTTCACACTTTATTCAGATCTTACTTGTTTTCTCCTAATCCTTTTTTCCCCAGCACCCCAAGCGGGGCACACATTACACTTTACCATCGTGTTTCAGGCTTCTCCAGATGGTGACAATTTCTCGGACTTTCCTTATTTTTAGGACTTTAACAGTTTTGAGTAGTACTGGCCAACTATTTTGTAGAATGTCCCTTAATTTGGGTTTGTGTGATGTTTTCCTCATAGTTACAGGTTTGGGAGGAAGACCACAGAGGCTGAGTGCCCTCCTCTGGTTTCCCAGGGGGGATATGGTAGGTAGACTTACCATTGCTGATGGAAGCCGGACCTGTGGCCATGAGGCTGCTCTTTGCCACCTCTGCACAGGCCTGAGCGTGTTGGTGGCTGTGCTCCCTCCCTCCCTGAGGGCAGGTATCTCTACAGAAAGGATTAGAGATTTTTTTTTTTTACAGGAAGGTTCGTCCTTGCTCATCCATGCATGTATTCAGTCGTTTATGTCAGTGCCTACTACGTTACTTATTTTGTTGTTCAAATTGTTCTGGCTTTAGCTTCTGGGAGCTCTTCCAATTGGCTTCTGCGTCTCTTTACATACCCTTGTCACTTGTTTTTTTGTTAATCCTCACCCAAGGGTATTTTTCATTGATTGCTAGCGAGAATGGAAGGGAGGGGGAGAAACGGAGAGAGAGAAACATCATGTGAGAGAGGCACATCAGTTGGTTGCCTCCCACTCGAGCCCTACCAGGGCCGGGGATCAGATTGAGCCTGCAATTGAGGTACTTGCTCTTGACTGGAATCGAACCTGGGACCTTACATTCTGCAGGCCGATGCTCTGTCCACTGAGGAAAACTGGCTAGGGCCCCTTGTCCTTTGTTTTTTGTTGTCGAGCACTTTCTTCCTTTCTGGTATTGTAAGATGTTCAAGGCTCCTTTTGTGTTTTTCTGCTCAAACCTTAGAATCTGCTCCAAAGAGCCCTGATTTTTCCTCTTGGAGATGGAGTTTGAAAATACTATGTGGGCACTGGCTGTGCTGCTGTTAATACTGGAGGTTTTGGCTTCTTGACCTTTAGGGACAGAGCTAGGAAACAGATGTGTGGTTATTAAGTCGTACTTACACATGTCGTACTGTAATTCCTCACTTAATGTCAGTAGATCCTTGGGAACTGCGAATTTAAGTGAAACGTTTATTGAAACCAGTTTTACCAAACACGAGTTGATATAAATGAGAGCTGAGCTCCTATGGCATGTGGTCACAAAAACAACAAACTTCTAAATAAAGACCCCAAAACACTTCTAATATTAAGCATTGTAATAAGTGTGAGCTATATACACACTTAAGAATGGTTAATAAAAATAAGTAAGGTAGTCCTAGCCAGTTTGGTTTAGTGGATAGAGCGTTGGCCTGTGGACTGAAAGGTCCCAGGTTCAATTCTGGTCTAGGGCACATGCCCGGGTTGTGGGCTCGATCCCTAGTAGGGGGTGTGTAGCAGGTAGCCGATCAATGATTCTGTCTTCTGTCTCATCATTGATGTTTCTCTTTCTCTCTCGCCTTCTCCCTCCTTTCCTGAAATCAATAAAAATATAATTTTTAAAAAAGGGTAATTATTTTCCAACCGTGGGTTCTGACGCATAGCCAGTGCAAGGGAACAGCCCACCTGAACAGGA